CTACTACTACGTACGTACGTACGTACGTACGTACGTAGTAGTACGTACGTTACGTAGTAGTAGTAGTACGTAGTACTAGTATATATCTACTCTCTCTCTCTCTCTCTCTCTCTCTCTCTCTCTCTCTCTCTCTCTCTCTCTCTCTCTCTCTCTCTCTCTCTCCCCATCTATCTGGTTTCTTTTCTGTCTGTCTTCTGACTTTTCTTCTGTTAGATTACCACACCCGAATGAGTGCGAGTTGTATTATGTCAACCGGGACACACTGTTTTCTTATCACAAAGATAGTGAGACATTTTTGCAGGTAAATTGAAAATATTGATGTAGAATTTATACGATGAGATTATATATGAGATGATTTTGTGAACTGGTAGACTCCAGAAAAATAATTGTCCATCACGTCATCATCGTCTCTAGAAGGAATGGATGGTTATGGAGAGCATGTTGAGTCCACCTGAGCACTGCATGATCCTCATGGTGACACACAACATTGTCTACATTTCTGTGGATGGTGGTGACCATTTGTGCTGTGGTTTTTCTATAGTTCATTGGATTATAGAATACTTCCTTTTATAAAATTTGGATGCTTTCCCTATATGGTATTTTGATGATACATTAGTTATTCCTTTCAGAGGATGATGGCTCTTTATGTGGCTTCCCACTACAAGAATTCTCCAAATGACTTACAACTAATGGCTGACGCTCCAGCACATCACCTTTTTGTGTTGCTTGGTAATTGTGATTGTTTTTTTTTTCTTTTCCTTTTTTTTCCCGGCATTGGGGACGGGGGGGGGGGGGGGAAGCTTTTATTGGTTGACATATTTTCTTCACTTTGCGATAATTGGCTAATTGGCTGAAGTACAGGTCCTGTTGATGAATCCAAAAATGTCTTGCCTGATATCTTGTGTGTCATTCAGGTTGGGATCTTTGCAGCAGGTTTGCTTTAGATTTTCTTTTCTTTATCTTTCTATTTTGTTGTCTGTGATATATCTGTAACTTGGAAGTTATACTTGTAGCAAGTGTAGTCCACTAACGTATTCATTTTGCTACTTGCTTGCATTAATATGCTATTGCATGCTAATCAAAGTAAGTTCCACTAATGGCATTTTAAATTTATTAAGATTTAGTTGGATATTAATATTCAGAACTCCAATTGATGTCATGAACCTCTAAATTTGCCGCATTTTTTACTGGCTTCACAAAAGCTTGCATCTGCTATGTTCAAGTAGTACTACAGATCTGAAGGCCTTCTGATTTGATGATACTCTCTACTAAACTAAAATCGAAAAAAACGAAAAAAAGAAAAAGGAAATTTGTATTGAGGACATACATGTGGACTTGATCGGGTTCTCTTTGAGATGTTAACAAACTCCAGCTTATCACCTGGTCGGGGTGTCAAGCATAACCGTGATACTTTCTAGCTGGTCAGGTACCTAGTTCACAAGTCCATATCTGGGACACTTTCTTGGACATAGGTCTTCCTTGTCACTTTAGAATTTCACAAAGTATCAAGCAACTTCCATGGAAAGCCGGTTTTAGTTTTAAACCACTGAATATCACATTGACAGAGTTTCCCTCCCAGGGAAGGGCCGCACCTGAGATCTATACCCTGATCTGCATATGAAATGACTCTGATCCCATTATCGTTTTGAAATACTCCCTGAAGCTGTGCAATTTTATCTGTCAAATTTTATTGCTGTGCTCATCGGGTTCGCCATGGTAATGGGGAAGAGCAATAATGTGAAGAGAGGCTGAATAGCGTGAGGATTTGGATAGATGATTTAGCTTTATCTTATATCGAAAAAAAGAGACGATTTCTGCGATCAAAGATGGGTTCGAATGTGGCACCTAAATTTCCTGAGTCTTGTGCAGGTCCATGTGTATAGGGAAGCAGTCTATAATCTAGTTTAATATGAGACGGAATTTTAGACTAAGTTGCTTTGGTAAGATACTTGCTTTTGTTAACATTGACTATTCTTGTCGAGATTGTCTACATCATTCTTTCATTTGTATATCTCAAGAAAATAATTATGTGATAAATTCTCTGATGTGGAATATTCTTACTATGCCTCGAATATATTGATGGTGAACAACCATGTTCTGTACTCTTTTGGATTAGGCTGTTCCTTCATGATATGCATATAATAATATTATTATACTTTGTCTTTGCTTGAAGTCAATACATTTGTATTGTGTAATTCATTTCTCATTGTATGACACTGAATCCTTCAATCTACAGGTAAGCCTTGAAGGTCAGATTTCTCGAGCATCCGTGATGAAAAGTTTAAGCGAAGGCTACCAACCTTCCGGAGACCAAATACCATGGAAGGTCTCTGAACAGTTTCAAGATAAAGTTTTCCCAAGTCTTTCAGGTGCTAGAATTGTTCGCATTGCTGTGCATCCAAGTGTCTTAAGGGTATTTCTCTATATCTTACGGGCATGCATTATTTGTGGGTTCTCTTGAAAGTTATATCTGTCCTTTATCTCTAAATTCACAATTGTCTTATAAATTTTGAAGGCTGGATATGGATCAGCTGCAGTGGAGCTTCTAATAAGGTATGTCTCTTTAATCATGTGACAACTTTATGAACTGTGAAGTTGCCCAAATCCTCTGAAACTTCCTCCGCTCTCACTAAAATTGAATTCAATTGAATCTTCTAAGTTGAATACATCAAAGGGAATGATGATGTTGTTTCCGCTCTATGTGCATTGCAGGTACTATGAAGGACAGATGGCTGACATGGCTGAAATTGACTCTGAACAAGTTGAGGAGAAGACCCCTGTTAAAATCACAGAAGCTGCTGAAAAAGTAAGGCGCTTCATTGCTGGTTTTGTTTATATTTGACACATGGGCCCCTTCATAAAAGAAAAATAGAAAAAAGAAACATGGGCCATACTAGAGTTGTGGTTTCTTTCTCAGCTATGCTTTAAAATTTACTCCATTGAAACTGCTTTCCTATCTTTAGTTTGTTTCTCTCTCTAATATTGTTAATAAGTTCTATAATGCACCTCTAATATCTTGGTTTTTCAACAGGTTTCCTTGCTAGAAGAAAACATAAAACCCAGGGCCAATCTACCACCTCTACTAATGCGACTTGATGAACGTCGCTCTGAGAAACTTCATTATATCAGTGTCTCTTTTGGTCTCACTCAACAACTTCATAACTTCTGGAGTAAACACAAGTTTGTGCCCTTCTACATTGGCCAAATTCCAGTTATGATCTCCACCTCGATCATAGTTCTGTGCTGCTTTCGAATTACATACACACACGCACACAAAAACATCTCATCCATGATTTGGAAAAGGTTAGACTCCATTAACTGATCTTCATGATATTTATCAGAGTGCGATAACTGGTGAACATACATGCATGGTTTTGAGGCCTCTAAATAATGATGAGGTTGAATTGACTGGATCTGGGAAGGCTGGTTTCTTTGATCCATTCTATCAAGGTATGAGTGCTTGAATTGGAATCATGTGGGGATAGTTTTGGTGGTGCAGATACTGCTCTACCAATCTATTTGGTATTTTACTATTTTCATTTTTGAAAGGATGGATACCATTTCTGCATTGTCCAGATTTTCGGAGGAGGTTCACCCGGCTCTTGGGTTCTAGCTTCCGGACCCTCAACTCTGCACTTGCATTAAGGTTGGTCCTTCTAACTTGCTAAAAAACTTTCCTTTTCCAAAAGAAAAAGAAGTAGCTCGCTCTCTCTCTCTCTCTCTCTCTCACACACACACACACACACACACACACACACACACCACCCTCCCCTGTATTTAGTATTGTTTTGTGGTATCGTACCTTATTATGTACTTTACCTTTTTCTGTACTT